TACTATTAATAAAAGTAAAATTCACATCTTCAACATTTCCGCCCACATTAATGTGAATATTAATTAATTGATAAAAAAAAATTAATAAAGCTTAATTGGTAACAAAATTTTATATGAAAATTAACCAATATCTAATGAATTTTTATCACAAATTAAAGTCAACTTAAAAAAGAAAAATGGTTATCAAATTCTAAGAATAATTAAACCATTATAATTGTAAGAATAACAGAAACAAATTCTGCGTAATAAATGAGAAAATCCATTTGAAATTTTATGTAATTTTATAAGGAAATAATAATTTATTAATTATTATTGACACCAATCTATATTTATACTATTAATAAAAGTAAAATCTTCAATTAAAATGTCTTTCACCCTTCTGATACGAGATTGCCCTTCAAGTTCTAACGAAAACAACTCATGTTGATGCTCGCATATGCCACGACTATCAACAAAAGTCAGGGTCAAACACTAACTCACGTTGAGTTATTACTGAAAAAATCAGTCTTTAATCACGGTTAATTGTATGTGACTTTTTCCCGAGTCACCCATCCTGATGGTTTGGAGATTTTAACTCTAGACGAGGATGGATAAAATTGTGTTACTACTACCAATGTTGTCTACAAAGAGATTTTCAATAATGTATAATTCAAGTCATTGATATTATGGTTTTTTATATATAAAGATGACAAAATTGCTATATATCTACATAGAAAATATATCTTCCGTATAAATAATTTCTATAACTGAATTGCTAGACAACGAGCTAATTAGCCCAATTAATACAAATTCTAAACACTGATATATAAAATCTCTAAAGTTGCAGCACCGAATGCGTATATCTACACGTTAGCTATTAATTGGGCAATTATTTACTCAAATTCAAGCATTGATAACATTAGAAAACATAATCGGTGCAACTCAATTCTTCAATTATATTATATAATATTCGATGTTATAATTTATACAATTGTATATCGATCTAAACATTTATAAAATATTATAACAAATTCATTCTGTGCAACGCACGGGCGCAAATACTAGTAATAATAATAATAATTGTTTTAAAAAATAAAAAAATAAAAAAATATAATTAAGTCAATCATATTAACTACTTGGGGGATTTATTTACAAAAAGAGTATTCAAATTACATAACAAATTGAAGTAGAAAACTACCTCGCAATGTCCTTGTTTGACAATCAACAATTAGCTCTTCAATATTAGTATATATTTAAAATTTTATGCCCAATTTTCATTTGCTCTCCCTTATGTCCCGTATTTGGTTTCAACCATACCTATACAATTATTTTATTGACAATTATAATCAATCTTGACTATATTATCTTGCATTTGTAAACTTAGAATTATCTATTTAAATACGCAAATTCAACATTCAATTATTTATGCATTAACAATTCTAATATAATCCTGCATTGATATACTTTAAAGTACTTATTAAAAAAAAACATTGGGCATTATCCCAATCGCGCAATGCGCGTAAAAAACTAGTTAACTAGATAATTGTTTTGATTGCACGATTTTTGCTTGTTCGTTAGGGGATTATACTTTTTTTTTTAGTTCAATGAGTTGTATTTTCGTGACATTTTAATGATTTATTTGATCTTCATATTACATGTTTATGAAAATGTATTGTATTTTCTATGAAAAAAATTACCTTTTTTAATTATTTGAAGTTTTTTTTTTTTTTTTTTTTTTTTTTTTTTTTTTTTAAACGATAGTTGAAGCTATTAGTCTTTCACTAAAACATATTATTTTTGATGAAAAATTACATTTTTACTTTAAAAAATTACTTTTTTCTTTCAAAAGCATTACTGTATTCAAAATATTAATTTTAACTGAAATTTTTTATTTTTTTCATTTTAATGTGAAAATATTACATTTTCACTTAAATGTAATAATTTTTTATTATAAAGTATTGTATTTTTTCACTTAAAAATATTACTTTTTTTACTGAAGAATAGAGTTAATATCAGATCCCTTGACTAATACATAGCTTCGACATGTGTCTTGAACTTGACCCTGTTATTTCAAAAGCTAGTGCAGCTGTCGAAGAAGATTACAAGTATTTGAACTAATGCTTTGCTTCATAAACTTAACAATTAAGAGGAAATATTTTATATTACTTTAAAGAAACATTTTATTAACACTGTTCATAAGATGTCAATTTTTTAAACAGATCATAAATAATTAATTTTTATGGTATGCGAATTGCACAGTGTTTTAGCAACTCTTTTTTTTTTTTTTTTTTTTTTTTTTTTGTTCGTTGTAGTTGATTGGTTGTTGGAGACTTGGAGCCAGCCTACCCTTCATGACTAGGCACAATCAATGCTCTCTGAAATGTGTATATAGTAATTAAGTGTTTGGTTGGTTGTTATGCTGCTATAGCCCGTAAGCTGCGCAAAGCATTAATTTTTCAGTGGCATAGATAGTATCATCAATTCAAGGCCAACTCTTCTTCAACACGTTTGGAAACAAGGATATATAGCTAGTCTTAGAGCATCTCCAATTAATTAAATTTTTGGAAAAAAGATTTTCAAACAAGATATTTGATGAGAATAATTTCGTAGGAAAAATTAATTAATATGTTTAATGTTATCTTAGAAACGTAAGAATTAAATTATTAAAAAACTAGTTAAGATATTGATTTGTTTAAATTTTTTTAGTTATGAAATTCTTTTAAAATATTTAATGTACCATTGTTATTATATACTAATATTTTTTAAAGACAAAATGTTAAATTTTAATACGTAAACAAACTATTTTAAATTTTTTAAAAATGTCCTTCTTAGTCTTTTTACAATTATCAGCTTATCAAAATGTTAATTTTACCAAACACTTTCAATCATAATAGCTCTTTAGTTTTCAGCTCCTAACTTACAGTTTTTCAGCTTTCAGCTCATTTTTAACTTCCAGCTCCTAGCTTATAGTTTTTCAGCTAGGTTTACCAAATATAGCCTAAAAGTATATTATTTTGTATGATTACATCCCGTACACAAATAATGTAGTTTAATATATTAAATATATATATTTTTTTAATGATCCACGCAACATTGTGTGAATCATGGTCTGCGGAAATTCATATACAATAAATGGTTTGAAAACTGATAAAAACGAACACAGAAATGAAAAGTCTAAAGTGTATGTAATTTATTTCAGTCACAAGCAAATCGATATATACTGCCAAGACAAATATGCAGTACACATCATATATAGAAAAACGATAAATAACCTTCACTCCTTGACTACGATACCAAAATACCATATGAAAGTAATCACAAATTGGAAATACAAAAATAATTAATCTCCCAATTCAACAATATGAAATCACTAACACACACTTAGCTTAAATTCGCTTTCAACATCAATAATGCGCGCCCACTCATGCTTTGCTTCGGAATTCATCCAACAACGAACCACATGTCTGACCAAACATAATAATAAATTTAAGTTATTTATAATCAGGCAATCAAGTTCAATCTACAGAAAATATAATAATAATAATAATAATAATAATAATAATAATAATAATAATAATAATAATAATAATAATAATAATAATAATTGAAAGAAATATTAAAAGAACAAGGTTTAAAGACTTTGACTGACCTCTAGATCACGGTCAAGAAAAATATAAAAATAGGTAGCTCAATTCTGATCCACACATTCATTGCGCAAAGATAAACAAATGCATCAACTTTAATTCTTTTATTTCAAGAAAGCAATTGACATAGCTGACCGAACAATTTATCATCATCAGAAACCTGAAGAAAAATGTACAACTAAGTTTTAAAAAAAAATCAAATAATATATTTAAAATAATCTAATTAATTCAATATCCTATTTTTTGCCGAAACTTAAAATGAAAAGAAAAATATTAAATTAATTGGTTTATATATAATAAACTAACTTCAATTCAAGGCCTTGCTTGAGGACCACAAGCGCCTTGAGCCACAGTAAAAGATTATGTTATATATAATCTTTTATGTGTAAGATGTTTGCTAAATGATATATAATATGCTTACTATTTCTGGTGACAGTGTAGAGGTGCTGTGGTGGTCAAATCCACTGGTGCTGACATTTTCCTCCTCATTTGATTGCTTATGTATCTGTAGGAATAATATATTTAACGAGAAAACAATTCAAACTCTTCTTTTATTGTAGTATTACTTCAAGGATCATAAATAGGTAAATTAAGATAGGTTGTTCATAACTGATGAATGGATCAAACAAAACAGTAAATAAGTGTTTCCCACTGAAAGTCAAATTTAAAACCTTGTAGTAATCAAATTAATTGTAAGACCAACTTTAAACCAATTTCTTTTAATATTACAAAAACTTTCTTAGTAACTAACAATTCTTTATCTCGTAAATAATTAACATAATTTGGAACCTATGTTAGGTTAGCATATATATCATTTTTTCTCTCGAACAATATCTCGATCAAAACATAAATATAATAATTAAAACTTACAATTCATCTTATAAATTTTCAAAACATACAAAAACTTAGAGACAATTTCATCTAATAGAAAATATTTCTATTCAAATTAAATTGACCGAAGATCCATTTAATATAACCCAATCCAATATCTAATATTTTTGTGGACTTTATCTTGAAAAGAAAATTGTTTAAATATAAGAATCCATACAGTTATTTAATTTCCTTACCATATGATTTCTTATGTACCTGTAGGAATAATATATTGAAAGAAAAATTTTCTAAATTCTTCTCCTATCAGTCAATCAAATCAAAAGGTCTTTTGAAAAGAAAACAAACACAAATTTTCTATTAATTCATGATTCTTTATTTGCTACATAATTAACATATTTTGCACCCTCCGCTGACATATATATCGCTTATTTCCTCAAACAAAACATCAATCTCCTATAATTTACATCTAACGTTATTCGTACTTTGGAATTCAAAAATCTCCCTAAAGGTTATGTTGTGTGGTAAAAAAGATCAAGATAATATACTTACGATTCCTTGTGATGAAGTAGAGGTGCTGGGATGATCGAATCCACTGATGTTGACATTTTTCTCCCCATTTGATTGCTTATGTACATGTAAGAATAATATATTTAACCAGAAAACAATTCAAACTCTTCTTCTACTGGAGTATTCCTTGAAGGATCATAAATAATAGATGGATAAACTAACATAAGTTGCACATAAATGAACGGATCAAATCAAGAAGGCTAAAAGACATCTCTCTCAAAATTCCACTTAGAATCTTGTTGTTGACTTCAACTTTAAAACATTTTTTTTTTCAATATTACACCAACTTTCAAATAATTAACAATTCTTTACCTGGTAAATAATTAACATACTTTGCATATATACTCATACATCATACATCATTTATTCCCTCAAACAATATTACCACAAAACATCAATCTCATATAATTTACATCTAAATGTATGTTATACGCACTTCGGAATTCAAATCTTCCTGAAGGTTATGCACTTATGTTGTATGGTAAAAAAGATCAAGATAATATACTTACCATTTCTTGTGATGAAGTAGAGGTGCTGGATTGGTCGAATCGACTTGTGTTGTTGACATTTTCATTCCCATCATATGCTAGGTTATGTACCTGTAGAAGATTCATATAAATTCATATTCTTCGTCTATCACTTCAATTAAATCAAAAGGTTTACTTTTTATAAATAAAAAATAGCAAACAAACTTTATATAGTAATTCACGATTCTTTATCTGATCTACTAAATGGTTAACCTGCTTTGCAACCATTGCTGCCATATCTTTCAGTCGTTCACTCAAATAATTTCACCATCAAAACATAAATTAGATCTAATAGAATTTACAATTGATGTTTTTTTTTTCTTGTAAAACTACAAATTAAATTTATGAAGTTTTAGCACACCTTACAATTTCACTTTGTATGGGAATTTATAAAGAATATGAAATTGATCTTTACTGCATACTTTTGAAGAAATAAAAACCTTAAAAGTTCCAAAAAAGATTATAAAAAGTGAGTAAAAAATGGAAGTTGGACACTTACTCTTGCTTGTGATGGAAGAGGAGTGATGAAGAGGTTGAATCCATTGATTTTGACATTTGTTTTGCCATGCCTTTTCTCACAAATCTCTCTTGCAAAATCAACCACCCTTTCACTCACGTCAAACAATTCCATCAATTCAAGGCTGTCCACATTTGCAAAACCCTTTGGAATAGTTTCTAGGGAAATACAATTCCTTAGAACCAATGTTTCTAGAACTGGAAAGTTTTTCTTTGGCTCCACAGCTGTCCAAGTTTTGAGGTCGGTCTTTCCAATGCGCAAATACTGAAGCCCTTTGAAAATAACATTACTGCTTAGATCCCAACGTTCTCCCGAGAACGCATTGTCATCCAACTTGAGCACTTTGAGATTCTCTAGCATTCCCAATTCAGTCATGTCATTCTTCCATTGAAACAATGTACCAGACAAGGTCAACTTTCTTAGTCTTCTTGGAAACTTATTGGACATTGGGACCTTCAACTTTACTTTCTCATCAGAGTTGCCATGAAGCTTCAAGTTTTCAAGGCATTCTAGTATTTGTAGATTGTTGAACAAGCAAGCATTTTGCTTTTTCTCGAGAAGTAGTTCTGATAAATCCCCGCGAACACCTAACTTTTGGAGTTTGGGGGTCATGTTGAAGATCTCATTTGTGCAACTTGCTGGTGATATGGTAGAAAGTGTGCGGATATCGGTTTGTTTACGGTCATGCTTGCCTGTTTTGGGAGGAGAGGGTAGTTGCGTAGAGGTGTTGGTGTAGACATGCCTTAGTTCTTCCATGTTCCATATGCCTCCATTAATTTGTAGCGCCCTTTCTGTGGTTTTGATCACTAGAGTTTCCAAATATGAAAGATGTTCGAACGACTTGGGGAGGGAACTGATATCAACTGTGATTGCAAGATACTTGATCCAACTGTCTTCGGAATAAAGCTCATTTGGCAGCGAGCTAAATTTGAGGGATTCAATATTCAACACGCGAAGTGAAATTTTTTTAAAGATGGTTTGCCACTGATCTGGCGTCGAATGAATCTCACTCTTTTGTGAGGAGGACAACGACAAAGACCAAACAAGGTCACAATGTTGACGTGGACCCATCCTTTTCTTGAAGAGATTGGAGAATGCATCAGATATGTTCATAGTGTAGTAGGAACAAAGACGTTCCAAATGAATTGTTGCATTTAATCTTTGCCCCTCATCCATTACATGGAATAACTTTGTCTTTTCAGCTTCACTTCTACAGAACTCATGCAATGTGTCATGAATGCAACATGTTTTGATTTGACCATCTGCACTTCTTTTCTTTACCATCACAAGATTTCTGTTAACAAGAACATTCAAATATTTTGAAGCTTCAACTTCTGGCTCTAAAAGGTACCCTTCTCTTTTTGGAATGAACCCTTCAGCAATCCACAAACAAATTAACTTCCAAGCAACAATCTCATATCCCATGGGAAAATATGCAAAATATAAGAAGCAAATTTTCAACCTCTCATCAAGTAAATCATCGTAGCTCAACTCTACTAGCTTATGGTAGCTTTGGTCTTCTCTGTCAATTTCAAGAAGCAGATTATTAGCCACTCGTTGCCAACCAGTAGAAGTTATACAATGGCGTATGATACCAGCTACCAGTACTAGAGCGTGTGGTAATTCATTGCACTTTTCTGCTATTTTTATCCCAAGCTCTTCAATTAATGTGTCACACCATCCCTCTGTACCAAAAACATTATTTTTTATTAGCAACCAACCTTCATTATTGCTTAACTTTCCTAAACTATGAGATTTCCACGTAGAATCAATTGCATTGCCGCTCCAGGTGGTTACCAGGACTCTACTCCCTTTCAAATTTGTAGGGAATGCAACTTTTAAAGAATCCCAGTCTTCTTTTTCCCGCACATCATCCAATACAATGAAGTATCTTTCATCCTTCAATAATCCCTTTACTTTAGCTTCCAACATATCTTCTAATGCAGTGCTAAAGTCTTCTGTTTGCTTGGAAATTTGATGCAGAATGTCAATGAATTTTTGCTTTCTATGAAAGCCTCGTGAAACATGAAGCCAAATGCAATAGGTGAAAATTTTCCTAATTTCCGGGTCTTCAAAAATCTTTAACGCAAATGTAGTTTTTCCTGTCCCAGCATTTCCCACAATTGGGATGACAAAAAAATCTTTGGATGCTTCCATTAATCGAGTTTTGATGACTTTCAAATCATCATTAAAGCCAACTATCTTATTTTCACGTAACACTCTGCGAACCTGAAAAATCATGAATAGTAATCACTTCCCAATCATCAGTACAATTGAAGAAATAACAAACTTATTTTTATTGAACAATGGGGTTGAAATTAATTAAAGGATTGAAACAATAGCTTCTTTACACGCAGTAAATTCATGTTCAAATAATCTTCCCTCCATATTCAATTCAGATAAATCAACAAATTTTATAAAGATATATACATAATACATATTAAGGACTAATTATAATTAGTATTATTTATCTGATGTTGTCCTACTCTTTCTCTATTTTGTTAGTCTTAGACTGAGCATGTAATCTGTTGTAACTTCCCTTAGAATCCTGGTGTATAGCTCTATATATTATGCTGTATTATTCTCATTCAAACCTTCATATGGTATCAGAGCCTAATATACTCAAACGAGTAATTTTTTTTTTTTCATTCCTTCCATGCGTGATCTCATGGCAATCACTAATGAAACTTCTATCATTACACTATCAGCACCAACAAATTTCCCCATTAAATTTACTTCAACCAACTTCCATATGCATACTTTCCTAAAAAATGAAATTTATAATTTTTTTCCCAAGATTAACAAATAGGGAGTATTTGTTTTAACACACATTTAGAGTGTGTTTGGAAACTTCAAAAATGATTTCTGAAAATTATTTTCTGGATTTTCAGTGTTTTACAAACATTGAAAAATTAAAGTCATGGAAAATGATTTCCCGTCATGACGGAATCCGGCGATGTTGATTAGAGAAGGAGAAAACAGAGAGCATGCATTGAAATTGAAAAGGAAAAATATCTGATTCACTTGTAACAGATTGGTACATGCGGAATATAAAAGTGACGAAGAAGAAAGCAAGAAGCGGGAAAAGTGGTTGAAACAAACTAAAGTGAGAAAAGACAATAGCACCCCTAGAGTCGTCTTCCATCTTTATCATCTAATACTCCCGTAAGCTGGAGCATGCAGGTCTCCCAGCTTAGATGCAAAGGAGTGGAACTGTGACATCAGGAGAGGTTTGGTGAACGCGTCGGCAATCTGATTAGAGGAAGACACAGACAAGAGTTTGATTAATCCTTGAGTTAGCTTCTCTCACACAATGTGACAATCAATATCATTGTGTTTTGTGTGTTCCTGAAAGACATAGTTCTCGGCAATGGCTACAACAGACTTGTTATCACAAAACACTGTTGTCGACTTTGTTGTTCCAACTTGTAAATCCTGGAGTAAATATGACAACCACTGCACTTCACAGACAGATGCAGCCATTGCACGGTATTCGGCCTCAGAAGATGATGATTTTGAAATAGTTGCTTGCTTTTTGGATCGCCATGAGATTAACGTAGATCCTAAGAAGACACAGTAGTCTGTGATGGATTTTCGGGTTTCATAACAGGCAGCCCAGTCTGAGTCAGAGAACACTTTGAGTTGTATATCTTGGTTGGCGGGATAGAAGAGCCCTTCACCAGGTGATCTTTTTATGTATCTCAACGCACGATGTGCTGTAGAGAGATGTGTGGTTGTGGGAGCATAAAAAAACTAGCTTAGTTGCTGAATAGCGTAGGTGAGATCAGGTCTTGTAGCAATAAGATATAGTAATCTGCCAACCAGCCTCCTATAGCAGCTTGCATCCTCAAGAGGGGCACCATCTTCATGCGTTAATTTTAAACCATGTGCCATTGGCGAATTTGCAGGCTTACAACCAAGAAATCCAGTTTCCTCCAAAATGTCTAAGGCATATTTTCGTTGACACATATTCAGTCCTGCAACTGATGTTTTCACTTCGATTCCCAGGAAGTATCCTAGTGAGCCTAAGTCCTTGATCTTGAAGGTATCATCCAGAAATGTCTTGAGCTCCCGAATTAATTCAGTATTTGCACTGGCTACGAGAATATCATCTACGTATACATGCAGAGCCATGAAATTGATAACCCAACAGGGTAGGTCAAGTTGCAAATGAGCTCTCTTTGTGGGGAAGAATTTTGGGATAACCCGGGTTCGATTCCCACAAGTGATGATTCCCTTTGGGCCAGCTTAGTGCCTCTCGGAGCGAACCGGGTGGACCTGGACCCACCCGGACCGTTAAACGGACAGAGAAAGACCCGGACCACATAGTGGTTTACATTAAAAAAAAAAAAAAAAAAAGAGCCATGAAATTGATGCATTTAATTTTGCATTCCACTGTGACTGCTTAAAACCAATAGTTAAACCAATAGTACTTTCTAGGTATCGAAGTTTTAAGAAGTAAAACAGGTATGTTACTATCTCAACGAAAGTATGTACTTGATTTACTATTTGAAACAAGAAATTAGGTATTAAACCATGCAATACTCCCATGATACCGAACATGCAACTGTCGAAGGAGGGGGGTTGTTTGAAGATCCAAAGAGGTACAAGAGATTACTTGGGAAGCTAAACTACTTAACAGTAACTCATTTGAATATTGCATACCCAGTTAGTGTTATAAGTCAGTATATGGCATCCCTAGCTGTTGATCACTAGGCAGCTATAGAACACATCTTGAGTTATTTGAAGGGGCCACCGGGACATGGAATTTTGTATAAGAATCATGGTCACACTAATATTGAGTGTTTCACCGATGCTGATTGGGAAGGATCTAAAGAGGATCGAAGATCAACAATTGGATATTGTGTTTTCTTTGGAGGTAATCTAGTTTCGTGGAAGAGTAAAAAGTAGAATGTGGGTTTAAAAAAAAAAAAAAAAAAAGTAGAATGTGGTTTCTCATGTTGCACAATCAAGATGTGAAGTAATGTGGATAAACAACTCTTGAATGAATCTGGTCTCAAAACTCCAATCCCTGCAAAACTAACCAAGCACATAGAGATCGACTGCCACTTCGTTCGTGAAAAGATACAACAAGGTTTAATCTCCATTGAATTTGTGAAGACTAGAAAATAATAGGGGACCTATCTTCAAAAAAAAAAAAAAAAGAAAACAATAGGGGACCTATTTACAAATGCCCTAAATGGGACTCGAGTTATTTATTTATGTGCAAAACGTTAGACATGATTGACATTTATGCTCTAACTTGAGAGGGATTGTTATGTAATGTACAGTGTTGCAAAAATCTCGTCTAGGCGCTAAACGGCGACCGCGTATCATCATAATCGGTGGTCTAGGCGGCCGCCACCTAGGCTGCTTAGACATTGACCGCCAAGGCCTCCTAGACACCGACTAGGCCTCCAGGCACCAACTAGGCCGCCTAATCGGCCGATTAGCTATTGTTTGTTTTTAAATGGGTTGTTTCACTCAAAACGACATCGTTTTGAGCAAAATAACCCTAAATTGTTTGAACTCTAAATGTTTTTAAGGTTAATGTTGAATATTGTAGTATTGACTATTAAAGTATTAAATATTTTATAATTATTAGTCTTAAAATTTTAAAAATTCTAAACAATTAAAAAAAAAAGAATAATAAAATAAAATACACGGGCGCCTAAGCGCTAGGTGCCCGAGAAACACCATGCTATTTTTTCAACCATGGTAATGTATATATATCTTAGATAGCATGACACCACGCTATTTTTTCAACCATGGTAATGTATATATATCTTAGATAGCATGACCATTCATAGGGATGTGAAAAGCTTCCTAGATATAGCATGAAGGGATGTGAAAAGTCTCCTATATAGCATTACCATTCATATGGATGTGAAAAGTCTCCTATGCATTACCATTTATATGGATATGAAAAGTCTCCTAACATGTAAATATATAGGGTTGTGTATTCCCTTTCAAGCTATCCAATTTTTCAGAAACCTTTTCCTCACCTTTGTATGTACAACTATAAAATTAAAGTCTGCGCAACTTACACATAAATTCCATTTTGATGTAAGCAAATATGTGTTCTTGTATTGCAATTATTGAAACAAATAATTTGAAATATGATAATTTGGGAATAGATTTTTTTGTGGTACTATACCTTGTGAGGTG